TATAGATAGGTAGATATAGATTTAAATAGAAGCATATTTGGAAAATAGAAATAATATGTTTGGTAAAACTTACTTAAACACGGTTCATTTATCTACTAAACAAGAAATAGTAAAGAAAGTAAGGACAAAACCAAAAATCTAAAACAACGAAAAACTAAAATTAAAAAAAATTACAAAAACCATTACAAGTTCATCTAAAATTCAAAATTATTACAACTCTTAAATTAGATAAAAGTAACAAAGTTATAATTATTAAATTATTTATTTAATATATATAGTATTTAAAATGCTCTTTTGGGACTCGTTCGAGGTTCTCCGTCCCGGGACAGGGCACTATTTAAACGACCCTGAAGCTCACGTGTGGAGCTTAGTTTTGTGGGCTTATGCCCCAAAGTGTCTGACTATGCGCCCAAAATACGCATAATGCTTAATGGTCAGGACTAGTCCAATAAATCCTACTTAAATCATGTGTCTAATTAAGACTATTGATGCTTAAAATTCTTTAACAACGTAATGATTAAAGTTTTATTCAAGAATAAATTAAATATCGAGTCATATAATTGCATATTTACTAATTGAGAACATTGTGAGTGTGAATATCATTAGATTATTTCTTCTAAATTAGATAATCAAAATTTATATCTTATTGTTATTGGTCTTCATGTCTTAAACTATGAGGCTTTTATTGTTTTGCTCTTTGAAAGTAGTTTTATATATACATGAAGGAGTAATCTTTTAAATTATAGTATTGATGAACTTTCTTGATTAATTACTTTTAGGGAGGTAAAATATATCTTCATATATTTTTAAAGAAATTATAATTTTCTAATTGTTTGAAAATTAAGACATTATAGTTGTATCTCACATTAACTTTAACACTATTGTATTATTTATATTTGTAAAAACATATTAGGTATTTTTTTTATGAGTTCTTTATTTTCTTTTTAAATTTCTTAAACTTTAATGGACTTTCTATTTATGCGTAATTTTTAAATAAAAAAAATTAAAGATATATGGGGCTTACACATCGTCCCATAGTAAAATGGCTCGCCTCACACACCCGCCTTTGAAAATACTATTTGAACGTAGAACGCCTGCTATGATGAAAAATCGCATGCTAAGTATTGGAATTATCTATACCCTTTAAAATTTAAATTATCTCAAACAAAATAAAAATTAAATGTTTATGTAGATAATTAAAATAAATGTCTCTCCTGCATCTGTTGTTCATGTGATGTGTAGTCGTTACCTATAAATGCAAATATTACTAGGTGAATTAAGGAATACCGAAAGCCCCCATGAATTAAGTGATTGTAGGAACATTGAGGTCGATGAGGTCATGGAGGCAATGCGTAAGATGAGAAGAGGCAGAGCTACCGGGCCAGATGAAATTCCGGTTGAACTTTGGAGGTGTGTGGGTAGAGCAGGCTTGGAATGGCTTACTAGGTTGTTTAATGTTATATTCAAGACTAATAGGATGCCTGAAGAGTGGAGGTGGAGTACAATAGTTCCGCTGTATAAGAACAAAGGCGATATCCAGAGCTGTAACAACTATAGGGGTATCAAATTACTAAGTCATACCATGAAAGTCTAGGAGAGAGTGGTAGAAATGAGAGTGCGAAGGACGGTGTCTATTAGCTACTGATGATGGGCTTTATCTGTTGGTTATTAGTATACTTTACATCTTTCTCGTATTTCCTATATTCTTATATTGCTGTTATTTTGTTATTTTATGGTATTTTATGTTATATTATGGATTTTATGTTATTTTATGTTATTTTATTATGAGTCTATTGATAGTACAAATATAGCGTCTCTTGTTGCTTTCTTGAGACGAGGGTCTCCTGGAAACAGCCTCTCTGCCCCTCGGGGTAGAGGTAAGGTCTGCGTACATATTACCCTCCCCAAACCCCACTTGTGGGATTATACTGGGTTGTTGTTGTTAACCTAAAGCATATTTTTTGGTTTATATTAGGCCTCTTTGACCCTACATTTTGTTCAGTGAGACTCGGTGAATACCTGATGTATTCAATTCTCTATAGATTTGTCTTCTTCTTTGGAGACAAGTATCACTTGTGACGGTGAGACTAGCTTGAATCACCGTTCGTTCCTTGCTTTTGTTGAGCCACACCTCAACTTTTGTGATGACTCATTTTGCATTATTCTTTTGTTACCCAATGTCGTGGTCCAACGCCGGTCACATTCTTTTTTTGCACCTAAAGGTTCACGATACTCACGTGGTTAGAAATTATATTTAGTATTTATGGGTTGACATTTCATATAATATATAAATAAAAAACCTATGAGGAAGAAATGAAATAGATGTCTATTTATTTTTTGTTAAAGATAAAGAGACAAATTATAAAAATGTACAAAAACAATAAATGAAAACTAGCGAGTAAGACATAGAGAGATCATGGAAGGCCTCGTGTCTTCTTTTTGCAGTTGAAGAAAGTGAGGAGAAAAAGATTAAAAATTAGAAGGTATAGATATTGATGTAAATTTCATTAATTCGCAGTTGTTTTAACTAAAATACGTAATTTGATTAAATTTTAAAGAAATAAGGTGGAAAAAATAACTAAAAATTTGCATGAGTCAAATTTACTAATTGAGAATATTATGAGTGTGAATATCATTAGACTATTTCTTCTAAATTAGATAATCAAGATTTTTATCCTATTATTATAGGTCTTCATGTCTTAAACTATTAGGCTTTTATTATTTTGCTCTTTGAAAGCAATTTTGTATATACATGAAGGAGTAATCTTATAAATTATAGTATTGATGAACTTTCTTGATTAATTACTTTTAGGGAGGTATAATATATCTTCATATATTTTTAAAGAAATTATAATTTTCTAATTATTTGAAAATTAAGACATTATAGTTGTATCTCACAGCAACTTTAACACTATTGTATTATTTATATTTGTAAAACATACTAGATATTTTTTTATGAGTTCTTTATTTTCTTTTTAAATTTCTTAAACTTTAATAGACTTTCTATTTATGCGTAATTTTTAAATTAAAAAAAATTAAAGATATATGGGGCTTACACATTGTCCCATAGTAAAGTGGCTCGCCTCACACACGCCTTTGAAAATACTATTTGAACGTAGAATGCCTGCTATGATGAAAATTCGCATGCTAAATATTGCAATTATCTATACTCCTTTAAAATTTAAATTATCTCAAACAAAATAAAAATTAAATGTTTATGTAGATAATTAAAATACTTGGATGTCTCTCCTGCAACTGTTGTTCATCTGATGTGTAGTTGTTACCTATGAATGCAACTATTATTTATGGTTAACCTAAAGCATATTTTTTCATTTATATTACGCCTCGTTGACCTTACATTTTGTTCAGTGAGACTCGGTAAGTACCTGATGTATTCAATTCTTTATATATTTGTCTTCTTCTTTGGAGACAAGTATCACTTGTGACGGTGAGACTAGCTTGAATCACCGTTCGTTCCTTGTTTTTGTTGAGCCACACCTCAACTTTAGTGATGGCTCATTCTGCATTATTCTTTTGTTACCTAATGTCCTGGTCCAATGCCGGTAACATTCTTTTTTTGCACCTAAAGGTTCACGATGCTCATGTGGTTAGAAAGTATATTTAGTATTTATGGGTCGACATTTCGTATAATCTATAAATAAAAAACCTATGAGGAATAAATGAAATAGATGTCTATTTATTTTTTGCTAAAGATAAAGAGACAAATTATAGAAAGACAGTAAATGAAAACTAGCAAGTAAGACATAGAGAGATCATGGAAGACCTCATATCTTCTTTTTGCAGTTGAAGAAAGTGAGGAGAAAAAGATTACAAACTGAAGGAATAGATATTGATGTAAATTTCATTAATTCACAGTTATTTTAACTAAAATACGTAATTTGATTAAATTTTAAAGAAATAAGGTGGAAAAAATAAGTAAAAATTTGCATGCGTCAAAGCATTAATTTGTATCGAATTGCAACAATTTCTCAAACAGTTGAAATTGACATATTTGTGGAGGTTATCAAAAACCTTCACAAAAAAACTGCCATAATAATAAAAAATTTGAGGAGGTTGGAACAAACGCCACGGATTAAACATATAGCAGGGGTCTTTTATAACCCCCACATTTAAACCGCCACAATAAGAACTATTTTGTGGGGGTTGGCTCAAACTCCACAAAACAAATGTATAGTGGGGGTTTTTTATGACCCCCATAAATAAACCGTCACAATTTGACAATTTTTTTGTAGTGTTATCGGACGGCTTACAAAACTCCGATTGGTATGTCTCTGTATCGGTTGGTGCTTGGGAAAGCTTTCCATCTTTAGGTTGAGTTAGAGCACAAGGCCATGTGGGCTATGAGGAAGTTGAATCCTGAATGGGATGTTGCAGCCAATCTTCATGTAGAGCAGCTCAATGAACTCGATGAATTTAGATTCCATGCCTACTCCAGTTCGTCCTTGTATAAGGACAAGATGAAGTACCTTCATGACAAATATGCTTGTAGAAAGGAGTTCAAAGTAGGTGATTTGGTTCTCTTGTTCAACTCCCGGTTACGTCTGTTTCCAGGAAAGCTCAAATCCCAATGGAGTGGACCGTTTGAAGTTGTGTTTGTAACCCCTTTTGGTGCTCTTGATTTGAAAAATAAAAATGGTGAAGTCTTCAGAGTTAACGGGCACCGGGTCAAGCATTATCTTGGGAAAATTGATGACAGCCATGTGGTGGCACTTCTTCACTTCAAATGATATGATGGTAACCTGCGTCGTGCTGCGACGTTAAATCAGGCACTTCTTGGGAGGCAACCCATGTGTTTTTCTTTTTGTTTTCTTTGATTTTCTTTGTAGTATAGGACTGATTTTTGGACTAACTAATTGTGTTTGTAACCCCTTTTGGACTAACTAGTTGTGAGATGCACAGGTCTCTGAATTTGCCAGTGCGGTAGCACTACATTTTGTGCGGTCCGTATTGGTGAAGGGTGAATCGAGACCTCTCTGAAGTTTGCCAGTGTGGCCGCACTACATTTTGTGCGGTCCGCACTGGACCTCTGCAGCTGCAGTTTATTCTGTGTGGCCCGCAGAGCATTGCCTTCTCAGGTTTGAACATAACTGTGCAGTGCAGACCGCGATCCATTTTGTGTGGTCCGCACTGGTTGGTGAGAATGGGGCCAGGGGCTTTTCTATAAATAGACCTTGAGGGCTCCCTTTTACAGTTTTCGCAAATTTGAAATCTCAGAGAGTATAACCACTGTTCACTAACCCTACTTGCTCATAATTACTTGTTGGAACTTATTTGCTTCAATTCATCTCATAATTTGGTACCATAATCTTCTTTTTACTTGTTTAATTTTGTCAATTTCATTTAATTTTCGCTTTCTTAGCTGCTATTTCTTCTTCCTTTTGTTTTTTCTTAACTACTAGGTTAGGTTAGTTTAAATTTTGATTCATGTGGCATTAGTTAGCTTAATGGATTGGGTAATCACTTAGAAACACGTATTAGGTGCCAAAATTGGATTTAAAAGAAAAATATTCATGAACCCTAGCTTAGTGCCACATCTGGGCACTCAGTGCGGACCGCGGTCGTTTTAGTGCGGTCCACGGTGCCCTTGTGCGGTCCGTAGTACCATTTTGTGCGGATCGCACTGAAGAACTTCTGGGAAGCTGAACTTTGGGCAGTGTGGCCGCACTCCATTTTATGCGGTCCGCACTGGCCCCTGTGCGGCCGTACTACTATTTTGTGCGGTCCGCACTATCAAGATACAAAGGGTGGGTATTCTGAACCCTAACCCTGTGCGGACCGCGGTCAATTTTGTGCAGTCCGCACTGACCCCTGTGCGGCCTCACTCCATTTTGTGCGGTCCGTACTGGGTTGGTTTCTGCAACTGTCTGCAATTCTTCATGCCTGATCTGCAACTCATTCTGTAACACTGCTTTCAACTGCTGCAATGATATTAACGAGTTCACTTGATTGTCTTACAGGCTATAGTTAAACAACGAGGAAAAGGCTCGAAACAACCCGGCAAAGGTGAATCCTCCCGGAGTGGAAAGCAAAAAATGGTACGACTCACTGCCCAAGCGAGGCAAAACATCAAGAATATGAGAAAGGCCATAAAAACAGCTGATAGGGCCATTGACATATCGGGTAGTGAGTACGAGCCCTCATGGGAAATCTCTTCGGATTCTATACCTTAATACATCCCGTATCCGAAGAGGGCTAGACATAGAGACACTCCTCCATCATCACCCACTGCCCAAGCACCAACTGATGTTTCTTCTGGGTCGTCTGAGGGCTCAGCAGCCGGTAGTGGGGAATACTCCACCTCTCCTACAGCTTCATTATCCGGGGAGGGTGCAGAAGAAGGTAAGGAGGAAGTATAAGAAAATGAGGAGGTAGTTGAAGGAGGTGAACCTTAGGTAGAAGGCATTGCTAGAACTAGGAAACCCGAAGCTTGGGAGGATAGATTTGTAAGTGAGGTAGCATACCATAAGTTTTGGGAGTGGTGGCCAGTGAGAAAATTGATTCCGGAGAGGAGCTTCATAGATAGAGACCTACTACCCCACAACCCCAACGTGCAGAGACAGTTTAGGACTAGAGTAGGTTGGGAGAATTTTATAGATAATTGTGTGGACGCCAACGAACACTTGGTCAAGGAATTTTATTGCAATGTAGCCCACATAAAAAAGGGCTCCAAAGTGACCAAGATTTGAAACTTGAAGGTGCTATTTGATGGGAAGTCGATAATGAGTATCTGGGATTCAATGAGGAGGATGAAACATTGTATATGGCGAAGTTGGAAATGGGCGAGGAGGTCCGTCCATGGCTAGCACAGTACATAGCAATCCCAGGTACCATCCCCGACTGGTTGACTGTTGGAGTCAAAATATTGAGAAGGAGCTTGAACTTTGAGGCGAGGGGATTAGAGACTTTTGTTTGCAGCAGGTTGGACCCTGCCACTCATGACAACACCCTTCCTCTCCACCGGGATTTGTAGTGGCTTCTATCATGGCAGGGTACCCCATCAATGTGGGGAATGTGATATCCCGGATTATCACTATAGTGGGAGCGGAGCATGACCGGAACTATCCTTTCCCCAGTTTGCTCACAATGTACTTCCGGGACCTGGAAGTGGACAAAAGGCCATATGACATCAAGGTCAAGGCAACAACCCCATTTTCCTGGTATAGCATGAAGGGGGATAACAACCCCAATAGCAAGAACTACAAAGCTCCTGCTTCTTCCCCAGCTGGCCAGTCTGAAGAGCCAGTTGTGGAGAGGTCCATGCTAAGTCGACCTCCATTTTTGCTGATATCCCTCCTAGACCTTCCGCATCCACATCTATTCCTGCCGGTCTATCCACATCAGCGGCCCCGAGGTTCCATCTTCCCGGGCCCATCCTTTTACCGCCCACCGTCTGAGCCAGGCACTTCCGAGTATCAACAACTGGATGCAGACTGCCTCATCCGAGTTGTCCATCTTGACTACCACTGTAGAGGCTCAGTCGACCCCCCCAGCCCCACAGGTACCCCAGTAAATAGAGGATGCACTCTAGGAGATACTTGACAATCAGAAGAAGATCCTAGACACTCAGGCTGCGCTCTCAAAGGCAATTGATTCACATAGCAAGGCTCTCAAGAAGCTTGCTCGGGAGCACAAGAAGCTGCAAAAAACACGGGCCTCCAAGGAGTCCGTGAAGGAGCTGTGTGCAGATGTTGACAGACTGAAGGCAGATCAACTGCCTTTAGACTTATTGCTCGAGGACCCAGTCCCAGCAGCTCAGCCACAGTAGGAGCAGACACAGAGGCCTCCGAAGAGGAAGAGGATGATTCCTAGAGCTGATGATGCTATCATCCAATTGGCGGACCCACCAGAGACTTCCTCTAGTTAGCCACAGGATGTACCAATTCCAGAGTCTATCGAGGTTCAGGCCCAGGTCCCAGTAGCAGAGGAGCAGACCACCGGGAACCAGTCTGAGGTTCCCGAGCACATAGAGGACCCAGGGACCACTCATGATCCTATGCAGACAGACAGGGCTTAGGGAGTCTTCTATATCCTTTTTCTCTATCTTTTTGGTGCTTATTTTGACTAGTTAGCATTAGGGACAATGACAGCTTTCATTTGAAGGGGTAAGCCCTACTATTCATTTGATGGATGACTGTATATATATTAATACATTTTTATGCTTTCTTGATTTTTCATCTTTGGTCTGTATATAATTTGATATTTAGTTACATTTATTGTACTTTTATTTTACTTTGGGTTTGTATATTAAGTTATATCACATTATATATATTCATCTCATTCGTTGTATATTCAAATCCCTTCTTATATATATTCATTCTATTTTTCGCAAATGTTTTTCGTTTTTAGCTTCTTATTTATGTTCGTAGCTTTTTGTTTTGTTTTGGACGTTTTCAATAAGCCTTTGGTTTTCTTAATGCCACGGTTCTTTCCAAAGGTAGAGTGTTGTGTGATCCGGGTGGCTCTTCCCAATGATGGATGGTGTGACAACCTTCTTAAGGGTTTGAGTCCGTTTTCCTTTTTGTTTTTAGTAGTTTGTAATTAAGGATACCTCAAGCAAAGCTTCACTTGGGCCTAACATATTTGCCTTTGATCTCATGATAAAAAACAAGTTGTTGTGTTTAGGATGGTGAAAGTCGTGACCTTGAGACTCTTGTGATGACCAATAATCATCAAGTGGTTTTTCGGGACCATTGTGTGCTCAAATCTTATCTAAGGTCGTTGTGGGCCCCCGATTCTATGTCTTTAGCAATCTCTTAGCTTGTGTGGTGAGTAATTGAATTGCGAGTCCAAGTCTAGAACTTGCCCTGAATGTTTGTTGAGGCGAAATCCTAAGTGAATTTTGACTTGAGACGTGATTATAGGCTCTTCTTGATCCAAATGATAGTTTGAACAATTCCATATCCTACCAATGATATGATCCCTAGTTACTTCTTTTGAGCCTTAGACCTTTTTCTTTCAAGAACCATGATACAAGCCTATACCCGTTTTAAAAGATACCCTCTCTTGACACCCGATCTTTCCTTTAGCACATGGCAAAAGTATAAGTTTGAGGGGAGAGACGAAGATGGAAACAAAGTGGTAAAAAGGCACGAAAATGAATATATATAGGGAAAGGCAATGAAAAAGAAAGAAAAGCAAAAAGACAAAAAGAATGTTCAAAGTGAAAAAGAATAAAAAGGGATTCAAGAAAAAGCAAAGAATGAAAGGTGTGGAAAGTTGAGAAAGGAGACAAAGGGTTGAAATGCATGAGATAGAGTGACAGTATATCTCTCTAACCCCTTAGAAAGAAGTGAAATGACTCAAAGAGTCAAGAGAATGTGTGCCAAATGAATCAAAAGAAGTGCTTAAGGGAAGATGGAACCTACTTAGACCAAAACATGTCCTACCCTGAACCAAAAGCCTTCACAATATCTCCACAAAAGCCCTATATGATCTTGAATTGAATGAAGCTTATATTAGTGGATACTCACATAAGGGGCAATCATATGGTACTTAGAGCCGGACTTGTGGCTTTTTCTTGAGAAAGATGAGTGAATTTCCATTAGCCTTGTTTTGCGTGCCAATATTCTAAAGGTGAGGTTTGCTTAGGGAGAGTTGAGGATGTGTGATTTTGGGTTCCACAATGACCAAAGTAATTGATAGAGTTCTTTGATGTGTTGAGTCAACTCTTGAAGCTCTTGTGTCGCACTTGATCCATGGTTTTTCAAAGGTTAAATGTTGTTAATGACTCATTTTGTATTGAGGGAAATTGTTAGTCCCAATTGATGCTAGTGAGGTTGCTTTAGGACAACTGCAAATTTCTTGGAACTTTCCCTTAAGGGGTGGGTCTTATTTTGTTTGCTTGAGGACAAGCAAAAGCTTAAGTTTGGGGGAGTTGATAACTAGAACTTTTGACGCATTTTATACTCCTTCTTGCTTACGGTTTGATTATAAATTCATACAAAATAGTCCCAAGAGGCTCATAAGTTGTGCTTGATTGCAGGTTTGATCAATAAAGTGACAAGATGTCAAAGATCGGCTCAAAAAGAGTGAAACTTGCACAAGTACCAAAGACAAGACAAACTCAGGAAAAACAGGCCTAGTGCGGCCGCACTACACTTTGTGCGGTCCGCACTAGGGAGGTTCAAAGACATGCTACTTCAGGCATTAAGGTAGTGCGGCTGCCGAAGGTTTTGTGCAGTCCGCACTGAAGGCAATGCGGTCGCACTACCATTCTGTGCGGTCCGCAAAACCAATGTTCAGAAAGGGTGAAGTTGGAGCTTTCAAGCCTGTGCGGTCCGCGGTCCAGTTTATGTGGACCGCACTAAAAGCCTCCGCGGTCGTGGTCCATTCTGTACGGTCCGCGGAGCCTGAGTTCAGAGAGCCAAGTTTTCAAGTTCAAGATCCTAGTGCGGTCGCACACCATTTTGTGCGGTCCGCACTAACCCCGCAGGGGCATTTTTGTCCAGTTTTCTAGCTCAGTATAAATAGATCCTTTTTCCATTTTTATGGTATCAGACATTTTAGAACAGCTGCTGCGCTCGTGGGAACATATCTTGTAGCCATTTTGGGCATTTTACTTACTTTTTATCATTGAATCTTTGTATTTAGCTTAGCAGTTAATTAATATGTGTTCATCTTCATCTATTTCTCTATTTTTCTCTTTAAGTATGAGTATCTAGACCCATTAGCTAGGGTTGTGGCTCAACCCTAGTATGGGTAATTGATGGTTGTTACAATTTAGGGCTAGATTGACTATGGGTGTTTGCTATTTGGGTCAATTTCATGGTTTAATTACTGAATTAGTGGTTGCAAACACTAGTTTGTGCTAAGTTGACTTGGGCTCTTCTTAAGAAAGAGAGCCTAAGTCTCTGAAATTTATCCAACAAGGAATTGGGATGGACTCAAGAGAATTGATAGTCCTAATTAAAGGGTTAAACCTCGAGAGAGTAATACCCGACTTGAACCTTAGTTGCTTGAGCAAATATGCATACCCAATTGGTCTTGAGAAAGTCAATTGGGCAAAATCATTCTTTCTAACGAGAGGTGTGAGAATGGGTAATATCGAGCAATGGTTATAACATATTCCCCAATCATGTCAATCGTGTCTTAGATGCAATTACCCGTTAA